CCTGGAGCAGATCCTTACCCAGTACACCACCTTTGTCAAGCCTGCCTTCGAGGAGTTCTGCCTGCCGGTACTGGGCTTTGCTATAGCTAATCAGGCGTGTTTTAAACCAGGGCTAGCCAGCTTCCCAGTGCTGTGCAACCTGCAAGGGGCCAAATGTGGATGTGATGCACTGGAATCAGATTAACTGGGATGGAAAAGACCAGTGCAGGCCCCTGTGGCTGCTCAGTCTGGGCCTTTACTACCTGCCAGGCTTGAAGGAGCTAGCAGCACCCCTTCTGCAAACCATTCATAAGGCAGCAGGGTTAGAAAGCATCCGCCACGTGCTCTGAGGCATGCAGCTCCAGGGAGAGATTTACCGCCAGCTTGGGGTGGGGGGGACCCAGCTCAACCCAATTCCAGCTCCAGTGGCCTGAGCTGGGTGCAGCGAGTCAGGCTGTGCCTTGGATATAAGAGCTGCCATAGGAGTTGGGACGTTGCAGGGACGGGACATCCTCAGAGTCCTTCTCTTTTGGAAGTGAGGAAACAAGAACCATGTAACTGAACTCAGGCTCGCTGGTCAATACAGGAGACAGTAACAGGCAACAGATGGTTGTTGCCATTCGCTTGCATTCATGCTAGAAAAGACTGTTCCCATTGCATTTAGGGACTGCCAGGACAAAGCTCCCTTTAGCAGGCGGTCCACAGGCCCAATCCATTCCCCAGAGCCATGTCACCATCTGTAAAGTGGCTTCTAATGTGGTAAAGGGGAGTGGGAGGCCAGGAAAGCAGGGGTAGGGCCTGCCACCGAAATCCGGGCCCTAGAGCTCTGTTGGGCTTGTGTGTCAACAGTTGGAGACAGGACACGGCTACATTAGCACCGCACTGCTTGCCCTGCCACTCACCCCATTGCCAGGTCCAAATTTGGCCTCTTGGTCCGGGTCCAGGCTGGAGGTGGGGGTGATGCTGTTAGACACCCCTGACTTACACCAGGGCAGAGTAGAAGTGGTTTCCTTTCCATCCTGCAGTGTTTCAGGTCTGGGGCTTATGGGAGTTGGTCCTAGAAGGTGACGGGCCAATGACAAACTCCAGGCACCCATTTCTGCTTTGCAGACAAAGAAGTACGCTGATGTGATTATCCCCCGAGGAGTGGACAACATGGGTAAGAGCAGCTCAGCTCTGTGCCTGGTTTGGGGATGCCCATGCAGTGAGGAAACAGCGTTCACCTCTACAACCCGGGGCCCCAAAGCCTTACTCGAGGGTTGGGAGTGGTGGGGGGCAGGGGTTAGAAACAGGCAAGGATTATCCCCATCTCCCAGGCAGCAACTCTCTGAACAGGGGATGTACAGGGGGAGCCACATACCTGGCACACTGCTGCTTGTGCCTGTTGTGATTTTCTCCACCTAGCATGACACAGCTCCCAACCTGTGCAGTTAACGCTGGAGTAAGGAAGAACCTATTACTTTATAGACTGACCCAGAAAGGTGGTTTATGCTGCTTTTTATGGGGGTGGAGGTGGGTTCATTGGCATGGAGTGCAGTTGGTATCCTGCATGTGTACACATCACATACCTATGCTTTTCCTTGCAGTTGCTATCAACCTCATTGTGCAGCACATCCAGGACATCCTGAATGGAGACATCTGCAAGTGGCAGCGAGGGGCAGTGAATGGGCACGGCCGGCCATACAAGCGGCCGTTCCCCGAGCAGGCGGAGAGCAGCGGTGTGCTGGCCCCCGGCAAGCGCTCTCACCTGGAGTCCAGCAGCCGCCCGCACTAACCCTGTGGGAGCCCGGAAGCTGCCTATGTTCCAGACCAACGCTGAAGACAACTTGGGAGAAACAAACCGGTTTGTGAAGTGCCCTTTAAATGGTCCTAGCAATGGCGGGGAAGTGTCAGGGATAGTAGGGGGCAAGAACCGTCTTGCAGAGGACAGCAAGGAGTTGGACCCCTGCCCCCTGAGAGGGATTACATGACCCCACAGCCCAACTCTGTGGTGGTTTCAGCTGCCTGCTCCAGCCCTTTTCTCAAATGACACCTTGTTTCCCCTCGTGGTGCTTTTTCCTTAGCAGGAACCGTGGCTGCCTATTTCCCTGCACGGCAGACAAGGCTTTGCTCCAGGTGAGAAGCAGGCTAGCCCAGGTCCTGTCCATCTTAACCAGCAGGCACCACTGCACCCTTTTCTGGACATTCACCTGCTCATGGGAGGACCTTGAGATTTCTCTTCCATCTGCGAAGTACACTTGGCATCAGTGTTTTGAAGCTCCTAGAGCAATGCCATGGCCCCTGCTTGCCTGCTCTTTCCCACCACTGACAGGGATGGTGGGGGCAGGACCAACCTCCTTAAGAGCACAAGTGTATATAATTTTTTATCCAGAGCAGAGAGAAACTGGGCTTTTCTGGCACAAACATAAGTCAAGGGGACAGACCCAAAGAGCAGCAAGGCTCCAGTCCCTCATCTACTGTTCCCCATCCCGTCGTCAGGCTTCTGAGCCTAGCTAGAGCATATGTAGGGGAGGCGCTCATTGTCATACCCAAACTTGCCCGCGGTTACTGAGCACGTGAGCTCCAACAGGGTTGAGCAGCTCACGACAAAGACGCCTGCCCCCGTCAGTATTAGCAGCACCCTGTACTACAGGGTGCTAGTTCTGCTGTGCAGAACAGGGTGGTTGAGTTAGCGAGGGAAAGAAACCACCACCAAGCAAGACTTTCCTGCCTGACATTCACGTCCGCAGTCATTTTCAGTAGCATTGTCTACTGCATTTCTACCCCAGGAGAGGCTCATAGCACTTGCCCTAGATGCCAGGTGAGCCATGCAACATTAGCATGCTCTGATTTCCAAAAGAGAGGAGTGGAAAGGCTGGGAACTTAAATCTCCAGCTTTCTGCAAAAGTTCTAACTCATCTTACCAACTGGGCTTTTTAAACTCCGTATCGTACCCGCCTTCTACCCCGTCTATCTGTATCTGCAGAGTAGTTTTACAAGCAGAGGGGAAAAATTGTTACTGCCGAAAAGAACTTTTGCCACATTCACTAGTTTTCTAAAAGCAAGGTCTGGCTCTGTTGGTCGTGCTGCTTTGGTTAATAAACAAATGAACAAACAACTGCTGGGGTGCGGATACTTTATAGCAAAATGCTAATGGCATTTTCACTCCAACACAACAAAAGGGACGTTGTCGGGACTGTTCCTACAGTCAGCAGCTGCGCCCACCAGCCTGTTCTCCCTTCGCTTTTGTGATACAGCCATGGCTTTAAAGAACAGAACAAAAGGAGGGGGATTCTCTGCATGGTCATTTCTATGCTGACTTCAGTACAGTGAATGGGAACCTGTTAATGAGCAGACCAGCTCAGTGTAGGGCTGGGTAGTGCTTGTAAGTGACAGGAGATTAAACAGGTTAGTGTTCTGGCTGCCCCAGAACTGTGCTTTGCAGAGGGTAACAGCTTAGGTTAGTTAATGCTTTAGGTAACTGCCCCTCACACTACCAAAGTAGCTCTGCAGAAAACAAATGGTTCCTAGGGTTTCCTGTCAGTGAATCTAGGCTACAGTCACCTTCCAGGCCAGGAAGGTCTGGAGCAATACAAGGCCGCACAGTTAGAGCTCTCATGGCCAGCCTGGGTTCCTGGTCTGTGCTCGCCATCCAGGATGCTGCAGGCTATGAGCCTACAGTAGATGTTGTAATGCTCACTCTCTCCTTCGCAGGGTGTAATGGTGCAGAGCAGCAAGTCTAATGGAAACCATTCCAGTCCCCGGGGGAAGCAGCTCCTGGCCCCCAGCTCATGTAACAACAAGGCTTTTTGCCTTGAACCCACACGAACAAGGTAGAGTGCACTGACTTGGAGGCACAAACAGGTCTTCCACAACCAGCTCAAAATTCGCCCGATCAGAGCCTTCATTTCATTCCTTGACCTGGCGCTCTTAGTGTTTTCGGATCAGGATGTCCCAGCTCTCCTTCCAGCGCAGGGCCCTGAGCTCAGCAGGCGAGAGGGGGGGCTTGCCGTAGGTCAGTGGGCTGAACATGCGGTAGGTGAGGTAGACGGAAGAGAACCAGGCTACGATCAGGGCTTGGAACATGTGCTTGGAAAGCTGGGATCTGAGAGAGAAAACATGCCAGTTCAATGCACAGTCCGATGGCAAGAGGCTGATGTAGCTAGATTGCCTTTTTCCTAGAGACGCTGAAAACCAGAGCCATCGCCAAGTGCAGCAAAGAATATGCCCTTCCCCATCCATCTCCCACCTCAATAGAAGGAATTTGAAGTGGGGCTTGAATAGCACATCTGGGTCTGTACAAGCGTTAAATCAGCAGGGCTCTGACGTAGGACACCTGGATCCTGAAAAGCCTCTCCCAGGTCTAAGAGTGATAGGGACAAGAATCCAGTTTCCCTTAGTTCCCAGCCTTTAAAATTGCCAGGTGACATGGGTACCTGCAGAAGTGATCGTTCAGATGCTGCAGTACCATGGGAATCAGGAGGATCTGGAACGTGAGAGCTGGCAGGTAGTGGTACAGGAAAAGTGTCTTTTCCATCAGGAAGAAGGGGAGGTAATTCGCAGCCCAGCCCCCAACACAGAGCCCTCCAGCGAACACCCAGGCCCACCACACATCTGCAAGGCAGAAAAGGCAATGCTTCTGAGCACTCGCACCATCTCCAAACATGCTCCGCAGGACATGGCAGCTTCTAAGGCAATGTGGCTTAGGCCCTTGTAAGACCTTCAGCCCTGCAGCTGTCATTAAAGCAGTCTCTACTTTCCCCAGAGCTGAAGACTTGCTGCACAGAGTTAACAGAGGCATTGGTTGGATAACTTTCAACACATATAGAGCATATTTCAAGGCAGCTTAACACCAGAGTGGACCCACTATGTGGCATGACACAGGTCTGGCCAAAGATGCTAGGATAATACCCCTGTGAGGGAAGTGCCCTACAATCTGCAGTAGCCAGGGAGAGCACTTCCGTAAGGACACATCTAATACCCACCTCGAGTAAGCACCTCACTTCATCTATTGTCAGCTGCAGCGTCTTGGGTATGGGGGATTCCAAACCTGCCTCGAAATCCATCAAAGCATCCCACGAAATGATTCATAGGAAGATACCGTACCCCATCTAACCTCAAGAGGCGGCTGGGGTGGGGTGGGGGGTTCATCTTGCAATGCACATGCTTTTCAGGAGATTAAGGCCTTTCAGACCTCTTTGGTTGCAGCCACAGAGATGCTCCCTGTTCTCCGCCTGCTTGGTGGCTTCAGCCCATCTTGTGCATCCACCTGCAGTCTCAACCCTTACCAATTCTCAAAGCCTCAGGGCAGCAAGAGGCATCAAAAAACCGCCACCTACCGCGATGGCTGAGAACACCCTTTGCCTCTTGTACCACCCTCTCAAAGTGCCACCAGAACAAGACTGATGTGCCCACGCCTATGGGAGAGCTGACCTTCTGGGACATCGCAAATCCTCCGCCGCCGGCGCAGCAGGTACCACAGGAATAGGCACAGGTAGGCGAGCGTTGCAGCGTTTGCTGAAGTCCAGATGAGCATGTTCCCGATCAGGTGGATCTGAGCCTGTGGGGTATGAGGCAGAGCTGCACAGACTCCAGACTCTCAACACAAGAGTACTGGGCAATGCCAGCATTTCTTTTTGGGGGGTAATAACTTAAAATACCCAATGTGTGCACACTGAACCAACAACTCGGAGCACAGCTGAAGAGCGCTATCTATAGCAGTCCACTGTTCCACGTGGCTACTCATCCCATCTGCCTGGACCGTGTCATTAGGCTGACATAGAGGATGCTGTTTTATTTCATCATTCATTTTTACTTAATGGGGATGGACTCAACTCTTTAAGTGGATCAAGTGAATAGAAGCATTGACATTAAGCTCCAAATTCTCCTTTAGCAGCTTGCAGGGAAACTCAAGTTTACTTAAAAAGCAGCAGCTGCCAGAAATCGTATCCAGAGCCTGAAAACCATCAGCTGGGAAGTGCTCCAGCTGCCACTCTCAAGTGGAGGCAGGAGACTGATGTCCAAGGGGCAGAGGAGGACATGGAGGGAAGGGGGAACTTAAGGCTGTTTTGCATTTTAAATATAAAAGGGTTTTTTACCCAAAGGACAAATGATTTACTCAGAAATACACAGCTGACATTCTGCCCAGCCAGCCCCCACTGGAGGAGACCCCCTGGCTGAGGCTTATTAATAGCAGTCCTGACCCCTTTCACACTCCCATTGCTGTGCTCCAGCTGCTTGTGCTCCTTTTGGAGCCCATGCAGACAAGCCACGCACACTTACACCAGAGGCAGGGTGGAGCCAGTACACGATGTTTGTGTCCATGGTGATCCAGGCCAGTGGCGAAGAGCTGTACTTGTGCTCCGTGTCTTCATTCTTCAACGTGAGTATCTTCCACTACGGGAAAGCAGATGAGGAGCCTCAGTCAGGATCCCTGGCATGGACAGGCAGCCCCAGACCTGGGACAGCAAGCCTCTGAGATGAGGGCAGCAGGAGCTGCCATTTCTCCCATACGCTGGTCAGTGCAGTTTGACTGTTCAGTGGACATGGCGTCCCTGCCTCCGCTTCCCGGTCCCCTCTGCCCAGTCACCTGCAGCTCTGTGAACTTGGCCATGAAGCTGAGGTTTTTGCTGATGTCAATCTGCGTGGGCGAGTGCAGCTCCACCTCCCTCTCCTTTTGCTCCTGGCCTGCAAAGGGACAACGTGGCTCAGAGGCAGGAAGGTGACCATGGGAACCCACATGTGCAGCCAGCCCTGTGCAGCAGGCCTGGGGTGGTGCCAGTGTGTGAGGGTGGAAGAAGGGAGCTCCTCAGTGGTTGGGCACCCCCCAAGCATCACCCTCCAGCTGTGGGCAGCTGGGACGTAGCCTCAGCTCCGTGTGCAGCACAATCAGCTCGATGCAGGGTGTCGTCTCTAGGCTAGGGCTGGGGGACACACACACTTCCTTGCAGCAGCTACTCTTGAGCTCTGTGGCCTTCCTGCCACCTCCCAGCACTTTTCTGCACAGTCCCCAGACCATTTCACTGAATACAAAGCCCATGGGCTCCCTCCTCTAGGTCTCTGCCAAGACTTACTCTTCCCATAGCGGTGCTCCTCCACATTCCACAGCATGCTCTGGTGGTAACCCTTGGACAGCTTCTCCCCAACAACTTCCAGCTGCCTGTATCCCCAGTCAGGCAGAGACACTCCACTGAGCTGGAACAGTTAAATGACATCAAAACACACCATGGTCCTGCCAGCATCCTCATTTCCACCCCTGTCACTGGAGCTGCCTGTGTCCCTACCCAGGAGCACGGTGGTGTGGGAGCTCAGGCTTGACAGAAATAGCTATGTGCACTGTAGGGACTTGGGTTGTATAAGAAAACCAGCTCTATCTCCAACAGACCATGTTTTAACCTGTTCCCTGGCCACCATCGTCTATTAAGGATGAATGTGGCCTTAAACACTGAAGGCAGGGAAGATTTGCACCTTATAGACTAACCAAAGTAGAAAGATACACACACGTATACAGGGAGGAAGGCTTTTGGGAGCTGTAGCTCACTTCAGATGCTGTGAAAGGATGTGCAGAGAGCAGAGTATAAGGAAGAAAGAGAAACTAGAATACAAAAGATAAGGGCGGGGGGGTTGTCTAACCCAGGGTCCATAACTGCCACTTCCTCTGAAGGAAAGCAAGCAGGGTGCGAGTTGGATAAAGCTGGGCAGCCACAAAAAACTTTCCAGCAGCATAATGATTACACCAGGGTGATAACAGCCGTCACAGGAGGTTTTGCCACTAAGGTGTTTCTCAGCAAACATTGCAGAGCTTGTAGAGACTGCAACAGGGAAGCAGGAGGCTGAGCGGCACAGAGCCACTTAGTACCTTGAGCATCGCGGAGGTGTTCACATGGACAAAGCGCACCTCCGACAGGATGGTCTTCCACACATCTGCATCTGACTCACGGTTCACGATTTCCTACCATGAAGAGATTTCTTTCCATCCTCACTTTGTCTTGCATGCTCCCCCAGAGACAGCTGCATCCCCTGCCTCCCCACGGCCCCGTCCTACTCACCACCCTCCAGAGGTTCTGCGCTGGCATGGAGATATTGTAATCAATGTAACACGAAACTTCCTGGGCATGGGGGCTCAGAGGTGCTGCTACATCGTGCCTGCAAGATCCATGACACCAGTGTCTACCCTGGAATGCTCCAGGTGTTTCACCTTCCGTCAATGTCAAAAGCACTTCTGTGGTTTGGGAGCACAGACTTCATGGGAAGTCGCATGCTGTGGAAGTCAACGGGATTTCTGCTTCCAAGACACTCGCCTGCTTTACACCTGCAATCTACTCTGACTCTAATGAAGTGATGACTCGACAAGAATCCAGAGTAGTGATTCTCTACTGGGGTCCGTGGCATTCTGGGACACCGGGAGATCCTTTTAAGCCTTGCAAACACTCGCACACTCAGATGTTTCAAGGATGAATGCAGAAGGTGAAAACAGTCTGGCTGGCTGGGGCCTTTCCGAGTGCTCTGCCCTTTTCTTCATGGTAAGGGTGGCCAAAATTTGGAATGGGCTTCCAAGGGAGGTGGTGCTGTCCCCTATCTTGGGGGTCTTTAAGAGAAGGCTGGATCAGCATCTGGCTGGGGTCATCTGACCCCAGCGCTCTTTCCTGCCTAGGCAGGGGGTCGGACTCAATGATCTGTTGAGGTCCCTTCCCACCCTAACATCTATGAATCTATGTAACACAGGAACTGCTCTGTTCATTTTTCCATGCTCAAGAAGCAAGTGAAAGTGAGAGTTGGCACTTTCTAGGGGGGTGCTTGAGTCTAGATCAGTAGTTCTCAACCTCCTTAGAGACCTGCTTGGTAGGAAGAATGAACGAACTGCCTAAGTGGGCATATAGGAAATTGCAGGGCTGGTATATATATGGGAACCTAACAGGTCTTTGACACCTTGACGTACAGCGCAGACATTTAAAAACAAGACAGAGCCAGCGGGAGCTGAGATGGGAGAGGAACTTACGTGTTGAGGTAGCGCGTTGTGATCCCGTGGACCAGCTGCACGATCTGCCCATGGCGGATGGGCCGTGGTGGGTTACTCACCACCAGCTGCTGCCTGTTGGACACAGAAAGAGGCATTGGTTCCTCCCTAGACTAGTGAATACCACCAAAATATTCCTCCCATCCAACAGCTGTTTGGTGGCTTCTATAACTGTAGTAAGTAGCTTCAGTCAGGTCTGATGGGTGCCCTCATGCCATGGTTTGCTGTCTTGACTGAAGGATTAAAGACTGCCTGCGTCTGGAAAGCTGATCTTCATGCTCACTCCTAGACAGATCAGTCTTTGGCTGAGGGTTTCTCAGCTTTTCCAGCTGCTGCCTCTATTTCACTGCCACGTGGACCAGGTGGAGGCTTCGCTCACCAGCGCTATCTTGCCAGCAGTACATTCACTCAAAACATTTTTAAGAGAAAGGCGGCAAATTTCTGCTGCTCCCAGGCCAATGCTGCGAGGATTGGCTGTAGAGTTCTGCCGACAACCCCTCCTAGCGTAAGCATAATTTAAGGCAGCAAACGGCCTTCTCAGCACTTCACCCCCCACCCCAAGCCCTTAATGCCCAGCGCTATACTGATAAAAAAACATTTGTGATGATGCAAAACTGCTTGCACAAGGGTTTTGGCTGGGGTAGCAGGCTAACAGGATGTAGCTCCCCTGATGGCTCTGCTGACACAGAGAGAGTAAGGCCCTGACTCACACCTCCCACATGCCAAGGGACAGCTCCTTATCTGCAAGGACGGATATTCCACCCAAACTTTTGATGCAGACAGACCCTCTTCCCTGCTTGGAGTTGAACTCAAACCACTTCAGAGGCCAGCTCAAGTACCCGTCACGCTCACTGGAATGAAGCCCAATTTTAGTCGCTACCTGGTAGTGGCAGCTTTTATGGTGTTAAAGTTACAGTGACTTTTTAGTGTCTCGCTCCTGCTGCATACGAATTCTCGTCCCAGTGCAATTCTTTCCCACCCAGCATCTCAAAACATTTGCAAACACGAATGAAATCTTTGTGGAAACCACGATATGTATGATAGCTCCAGCCTTGCCAGGCTACAAAGGGGGAAAGGGAAGGTGAGAAGTGACTTGCCCCAAGTCACACAGTGAGTCAGTGGCAGAGGCTAGATAGAGCTTGGGAGTCCTGCCTGGGGACACCACAGTGACCCCAGTCACCCCTGAGCCCACAAAACCTGTTAAGCCCAGTTGGCATCCAACTCATGTAGCCACCAGGCAAGGACCCTGCTTTACTTTTAGAACCAGCAGCCAGGCTCTTGGCAAGCTGGCTCTTAAGTCCCTTCTGTACTCACATCCCAGGATCCTTCACAATCCACCAGTTGTTGACATCTTTGAAGGGATAGCAGGTCACCTGCTGCTGATGGGAGCTCCCTCGGCCGTTCTCATACCTGCACAGGTAGATCAGAAGAACAGAAGTCTGAGGGGACAGGACTGCTTGGGTCTGCACAGCTACGAGGAAGAAAGAGCAGAGGGCGGCTTCCAGTTCATGAACCTCAATGAGTCGGCACATTGGCTCTGTTCTCATGAAACACAGCAAGAAGAGACAACACGCAGAGGAAACGGAAGTAGCAAAGCACGCTTGGGTCACAGTGCTTTGGATGCAACAGTACAGGGCGGAGGCAAAGGCTCCCGAGGACGAAGTACCCCCAGCACTCACCGTGGTTTGATTTCCAGCCTAAGGGTTACCTGACAATCCCATGCTCACACCCATTCTCCTATACAGTGTGCTTGTGCTCTGACTTCTGCCAAGAGATAGAGCAAGTTGGGCCATGAATGGTTTGGATCAGGGGAGTGGTTAGAGAAGGAAAGATCAAGACCCAGAGAGAAAAAAAGGCCATCCTGCTGCCCTCCTCCAGCCTGCCTGACTAGGGAGGGTTTTCTGCAGACCTTTCCCTATCTGGTGTGAAATGACAAAGACATCTGCGCTTCCCCTATTTCCCTAAAACACTGCCCAACAATTTAGGAGTCCCTGGCAGAAATTATTCCTGGTTTTCTTTCTGTAACATCTTAAACTGATCTTCCCACTCCTTACTGTCCAACCTTTCATGCTACTAATATGCCCCCTTTACCCCAACAGCCACCATTTAAACTCCTTTAGCACCTATCTCCAAATTCTCCCCAGATGTGTCACTACGAGCCAGGTTATTGCACGGCCCAAAACCAACGCAGCCCTCTGGTTACAAGGTTGATATGTCTAGATAAGATGGATGGGAAGATGCTGGTTTCTGCACAGGTTGCCAGAGCATGGCTTCAGTGTGCCACGCTGGACTGCTGTCTCCTACGCAGTTTGCTCTCTGCTATCAGTCCAGGTTGCCTGTTAAATGATGCTTTCCAAGTCAGCCACCTTCCCGGCACACACGTGCTGAGTACCCCCGTTTCAGATTATTTCCCTGCCATATGAAGCAGCTTGCATTTTGCCAAACTGAGATTTTGCCTCCTGCCTGACTCTTTCAAAGCCTCTAGGCCCCTTTGTCATGTTTCTTTGTGCTCTTCTGGCACTTGCAACATGGCCTAATTTGATGGTATCTACAAAGGCCCCTTCCCTCCCCACTGCTAGTGAAGATGTTTGTAAAGATGATCACAACAGCTCCCCACTGGATGCCTCTCCTTTCAGTAGTGCTGTTTATTCTCATCCTTTTGACTGACTTCCACCGATGCTGCATTGTCTGTCTCAAAGCTAAATTCAATGCTTCAGGTAGGATTTTGTGAGAAAATACAGACGACACCACTGAAAGCTACATCCCGTTGCTTGTTTTGCAATCAGATTGAAAAAGCAAGCACTTTTCCAATGGAGCTGCTCTTTCTAAAGCTGTGCTGTTTGCTGCTTGCGGTCCTATTGCCCCCTAGCTGCTTAGTGCTCCGCTTTCAATATTCATTATTCTACTACGGCTTGAAGTGAGATTCAAGGCAGGCTAATTACTAGGATTTTGCCTTCCTTCTTTCACCCTATTTTCATTAGGTAGCACATCTGCTTTATTTGCCTTGCAAAATCACAATACCTTCCCTCTTCACTGACTTAGAAATTAATTTCCACTGATTTGGCAAACTGATTAAATAAGTGCTTGAAGAATGAGTTCATTTTATCCATATAGCATAGAATCACAGACAGTGAGGGCTGGAAGGACCTCAGGAGGCCACATCTAGTCCAACCCCCTGTTCAAAGCAGGACCAACCCCAACTCCATCATCCCAGCCAAAGCTTTGTCACAGGGCCTTAAAAACCTCCAAGGATGGAGACTCCACCACTTCTCTGGGTAACCTGTTCCAGTGCTTCACCACCCTCCTAGTGAGAAATTTTTTTCCTAATATCCAACCTAAACATTCACTTGTTGCAACTTGAGCCCATTGCTCCTTGTTCAGTCATCTGCCACCACTGAAAACAGCCCAGCTCCATCCTCTTTGTTACACCCACTTCAGGGAGCTGAAGGCTGCTATCAGATCCCCCCTCAGCCTCTTCTGCAGACTAAATAAGCCCAGTTCGTTCAGCCTCTCCTCATAAGTCATGTGCCCCAGCTGCCGAGCCATATCCTTAGCATATATTCAGGCTTTTCAAAAGCATTAATTTCCCAGAGATCCGCAGTCTGAAGCACAAAAAACCCTTCTTGCATCTCAACTACAGAACAAGCTCAGCAGCTCACCTGATGGGATACGTGTTCTTGTGTGAATGGAGCCAGCAGGGCATGGGTTTGCCCAGGACGTTCCGCAGGGTAATCTGTGAGCCATAGGCTATTTCCAAGGGCTGGCCCTGGGTGATGCGAGCTAGCCCGCCCTAAAGAGCATAACGAGATAATTAGCAAAGGCGGGG